CCCTCACCCACCATTCCAAAATCCACAAAGCTCTAGAAACCACAGGTACTTTGTATCATTCATGTGGCAGCAAAAGCTGGCTGCTCTGATTCTCATTTCTCCTCCTTAGCATGAAGATTCATGTGTTTCACTGCAGGAAACAGATCCATTAATCTGTGTGCTTACAAGAGCTTCCCTGAGTCTTCTGGGTCTTATACAATATATGGACAATGCACGGTATTATCTTCCTAAAGTCCAAAATTATTCTGAATTCTGAAAAACATCTAGCCCCAAGGGTTTTAGGTGAGAGATTGTGAACCCATAAAAAAAAGACACACATTCCCCTCTCAGGCTTAAGCCACTGTCTTCAAACTCTGCCTTTGACCCCCAGGAAAAACAATATTTTACATTACAACCCAGAACATACGTATATATACATAACTAAAATCAAAGTGTTATAAAACAATGGTTTTCCTTACTTTGTGCCTCTAATAATTTATCCTCTGTACTATTCTCTTTCATTTAAAACAGTGCTGGTCATGACCCACTAAAGCAGAAGTTATAGTCTTTTTAGTGTCAGTGTGATGAAACTATACCCCTTCTCAGAATACTTATGATTGCATAAAAATAAAATACATAAGATTACAAAGAAAACAAACTACACTGAAGTTCATCTATTAAGATATTTTAAAATAATATGAGGGACAGTTATATATATATTTATTAGTACGCAGGTATACTGGCTGTGATTGCGAAGTAGGGAGAAGCATCACTGTTACTTTGCAAGATCTGCACAAACATGTGGGAAGAACAAGACTATTATCTATATTGGTGACAAAGTCATAGGTATGACTAATACTACTGTGGGTTGTTACCTTTATTTATAATTGAAGGAAATGTTAAACATTAATTAGAAATTAAAGAAAATAAAGACGTAAATGTTTCCTATTGAAATTTACAGACCCCTTGAATTCTATACACAAACCCTATGCACTCCAGGGTTATGATCCTGTGCGATGAACTGATTATTCAACCCACAGATTATAGAGCAAGGACAGCTCGATCTCTGCCTGGGAGAAGAGCATCCCTTGGCTTAGCCCAGCTCAGCATCTGGCTTTGGGTGCTCAGAGACCCCTGACTCCCTGTTCATCTCCACAGGTCTTGGGGTCCCTCACATCTCTGCCCTGGCTGGAGTTACAAGTCTAGAAAACACAAAACAGAGGCCCAGGGTGGATGGCCCATGACTGGAAAAAGCAACAACCATCCTAGTCATTGCAAAGAACCAGATGAAGACAGATCAGACAAAATTGTGTAACTGCCAGCTGCCAGCTCAAGTCCCCTCCACCATAAACCTGGTGAGCCCAATTCAATCCTGAATCATCTTAGGTTCTGTCTTCTAGACGTGTGTTTTATTTTGTTTTGTTTGATGACCACAGCATTTAAAAGTTGTATTTACTCCCTGAGGCAAACAAACTCTAAAAGCTCTTAATGAAAAGCAGCTCCAAACGAACAGCATTGAGATGGGCCACGGACCAGGAGGCAAGCTGATTTCTTTCTCCAGGTCTGCTAGCACCACAGACTTTTCTTGTTGGAGAAGGTGGGCAAGCCTTTTGCTGGCCGTGCTTCTCTCTGCTGTCTGATAGGGCAACTGTAGGGAGGGGTTTGCCCCTCTTTCCATATCTTCTCTGGACTGTCTCGGGACTCCTATAACCTCAGCAAAATGTATTTTGTGTACTGAGAAGCTGTTAAGATGAGTGGGCTTTGGAGATCTTTGGCTGGAGACAAGCAGATACTCTCACCAAGATGTAAGCACAACAGTAAATAAGAAAACAATTACTGATTGATGCCACTGTGTGCCAGGAACATCCCTGTGCACAAGGAAGAGCTGTATAAACTCTTACCTCTTCCCCACTAGCCTGTAAGCTCCTCCAGGGCAGGGAAAGTTCCTATATCCCAGTACTGGGTGTACTGGTGTACAGACACCGACAGGGTCCTATGACCTTGGTATTCACCATTCCCACCCATTCCAATGGGCTTTCACTACAAGGCAGGTTAGACATCCTGGAGAGTCAATGCCACCCTTCCCCACCCCAGCAGCCATCAGTGGCAGAGGGGAGTTGGAGGGTAACTCAGGTGGGAACCATACTTTTTCCCAGAAATTCCAGCAGTGTGAGCCCCGGTGCCCACAGTGGTAACCTGCTCACTTATGCACCTGTACTAGCTTCCTTGCCTTCCCACCTCACTTCCCCACTCCACTAGCAGTGCCTTCTAGAACCACCTAAATAAACTACTTGCCCTTACATACTTATAGAGGATGTGCTTCTTGGGGAACCCAACCTAAAACACTAGGCTTCAGAGCAGTAGCAAGAACACAGAATGCTACGACTGGCTGGCTATGTGGCCCTGCGCTAGGCCTCTGTATTCCAGCCCTCGACACAGTTCTCTGTGGTGTTAATAACAGGATTGTCTCCCTCTGGATGCTTCCCAAGGAGGCTCTGAGAAGGAGCAACTACTCAGGTGGCATGTTTCTTGGCTAAGAGGTGCCATGCAAACCAGAGGTGTACACAGCACTCTGGATCAGCATCGGCACACCATGCCCTGGTTTGCAGCATGGCAGCCAGTCTTGGGGTGCTCAGCTAGGGGTGATGTACATTCATTTCCACTAAAACACAGATCATTTGTCCTATAGGTCTGGGTAAAATACAGATCAGGTGGTATCTCCCAAACACACTGTTAGAAACAATGATAAGCTCATGAATTCAGAGCACCCGACAACCTTTCTGAAGATGGCCCCCTGCATTCACATGTTTGGTACAGTTGCTCAGCTGCAGCAGCTGAGGCTTGGAGAGGCTAAGAGCACAGGATCTGATACCAAAAGACAGGCTCCTGTCCCAGCGCTGGCAGCCACAAGGAATGCAGTCTTGGCCAGAAACTTTACCCCTAAGCCTCAGCTTCTCCACTGTAAACAGGGATCTCAGTACCTTCTTCACAGGTCTCTTTATTTGTTTGTTTCCCCCCTTGAGAATTAAGACGGGCCCAGTCTATATGTGGCGGCTTAAATGCCCATTGAACCTGAGTGTTTTACAAAGGGGCACAGAGGCACCTTCGTGTTCTATTACGTTTCTTTTGTCTTTATGCGTGAGAGTCGCCTTTAATTCAAGCCATTAAAATACTCAGGCTGATCTGTTCCCTCCCAGTGATGCATCCTCCATGCTAGCACAGCCAGAATTCTCCTGGGGCCTCAAAGGGACTCACTACCAGGAATGAATTGTGGAAGGACAAGTTACCCAGCACCAGCTGAGACACATGGACTGCCTTGAACTGCAGGCTGAGAGTTGCCACACCAAGTGTACCTGTTATAGAAATAAGCTGGCCTCCATGGATTGGCCCCTCGGTGGTTTATATTTTCACTGCAGGCTGAGACCTACATCCAATTATGTTTTAAAAAAAACAGCCCAAACAGACACGTTTAGCCATTTAGGGCCTGTATGCTTTGCATACAAATCTCACCCAACAGCTGTTACCCACTGATAGGATAGATAAGGCCCTAAGCTTCTGCTGCCCCCCGAGCTCTCTGACCCAAAGACTCCTCCCCGTGCTGCTAAGTGACATCACCTAGACCCATAAGCCCCCTCCTGACACCCCTCTCCCTGCCAGGACATCCCTTATCCTCCTTCCCTTTGGGATAGTGGTCCCCAGGGTGCTGTAAGCCTTCTTCTGGACGGTCCCATGCTGTGAGGGGCTTTCCTTACACAACCTGCCCAAGTGCCACCCAATGAAGCTTGTGTGTTTCTGCCTCTCATGGTCATATCATATTCCTTGATCAGCTCAAAATCCCTCAAATCCCCCTACCGACAGTTTGCCATGGCCAGCAGTATCGGCAAGGAGCTTGCTAGAAATGGAGGCTCTTGGGCCCCGCCCCCAGACCTACGGAACCAGACTTGACTTGGCATGTTAACAAGGTCACCAGAGCTGTGCACAGTGATCTGGAGCCTATGGGCTACTTTCATTGGGGATCAGCAGAGTAGCCAAGCTCAATGGTCTAAAGGGATTTGTGTGATAAATATGTCATCCCCATCTGGGCTGCTCTCAGCCTCTATGAGTGTCCACTAACCCATTTCACTGACCCTTTCTTGCTTTTCTCAGAATCTATGAAGGAGGCAGGTGGGAGACTGCAGACTGCCAGGCATGACCCCCTTACACAGGGAATAGGCTCTTCATTGGAAGCCCTTATGCTGCAGGTCCTGCTTGCACATGACAGAACGCATGTACACAGCACTGCAGTGGGCGTCAGACATATGACCAGGTGCCCTCCCCACCACAACACAGGCAAGCTTCACTCACACACACAGGCATAAGCAACACATCAGAGCCTCTTTCTATTCTGGGGAGTGGGGTCCAAGTGCCAGGTCCCGAAAAGGCACTCCAAAAGGAATCTTTCAGATTCCACCAAATCAAATAAAATGATCTCTTACAAAACACACTGGGGACAGGTGCTGAGAGGCACAGACAGGAGGAATCAGGAACAAAAGGAGCCCTGCCACACAAAGGCACATTGATTCAGTGAGTGATCCTGAATAAGGCTTGCCTCCTCCCAGGAGTGTCAAGGCTTGAGCCCCAGGGCACCATACAGGAGGCAACACCCTAATTATTCCCCAGAAAAGCCTGGATGAGAGAAGTGCAATTTGCTTGTGCTTAATATATCTGCATTTAGGAAGTTATACATGCTTACAAACTGTCTAAATCTATCTATTTAAGCCCTGGAAGTGGATAAAAACTGCTTTTTATGCAAAAACATCATTAAATCTATGCCAAGAATATCACTGATTTTTAGGAAAACAGCTCTGTCCTTATTCAGTACTCATTTACTCTTATTTTGTACACAGTTCTAACATCTATGAGATCTGATTTCTCCATTCATAAATGACTATAAGCAGCACCTTAGAAATAACCCAGAGAGGGTTAGGGTGAGATTGTGATAAGGAACTAGTACAAACAGCAATTATAGCACCAGTAGTACCAAGAAATGAAGATGTGTCTAAAAACCATTGACCAGAAAAACACAAAGAGTAACTAGAGACGACTGAAAGTACCTATACAAACTCAGAAGTATCTATGGTAGGGACCCTGGGGACTATGGGATCCAATATTTTCAAAATGAATTCTGGGCCATCCATAATCATAAGTCCACTTACTTTTAATTACATTTAATATTTTCAGTTTAAGAAAGACACTGTTACATTTTATAAATACTTTCATAATCAACAGTAGTTTTTAGTATTAAGATCTTGGTGTTTAGTTTAGTTTCAATTTTGTAGAAAACACATTAAGATGGAATAGTCCATACAGGTAAGAGCCATAGCAGGTAGGCATGGCACTGCTGTACTAAATCTATTAAATTCTGATTTGCCTGGCTTTGAAGCATTTGCAAGTCTCTATTAATTGAGCCCACAGCTTCGGAATATCAATTCAGCCAAAGTTAACAGGGCATCTGCAATGTGCCAAGCACTGTATTTGGTGCTAAAAATATAAAGATGAATAAGAAGGAGGCCTTTTTCTTTAGGACAGTTTAACTTAGGAATTCCTAAATGCCTTCTGAATAAATCATGGGGGGAGGGATTCTATTCCATATACTTTGAACGGGAGGGGCATTTAATGAAAGCTGGACTCCTTGGGACTGATTTAATGATTTGTGTGTGACCCAGGTGGGGATTCCCTAATATCCTACACATTCGAATTGTTGTATTCACCTGCGGACTGCCAGCCCAAAGGTGGGCATCCATAAAGCAGTCAGAATCTCTCCCTATTTCTTAACCACAAGGAATAAATGAGAATATCAAACTGCTTTTAACAACCTCCTCCAGACAATAGAGTGAGAGAGAGAGAGAGAGAGAGAGAGAGAGAGAGAGAGAGAGAGAGAAAATGAATGGAAGAATTCACTTAATCCACTTGCCCAGAGTAAATTGTTGCTAGATTTGGACAAATTGCAGAATGTGAGTTCCTCTCCTGTCCTTCTGGGATGCAGAGAACCAGGAAGATATGGGCGCCCTGAACCTGCCCCAGCTGGATCCTGCCTGATCCCCTTCCAGGGCTCGCACAGACTGAGAAGAAGCCTTCTTGCATGCCCCAGAGGGAACAGATCAGGGACCTTGCCTCCTTGGAACCTCATGGGTGTCCCTCCACACAAAGGTGAGAGCTGGACAGAGGCAGGTCTTCATGAGTCTCTCTCTGTAACCTGTACACACACACACACACACACACACACGCGCGCGCGCGCGCACACCTCTATTGCATTCTGGTCACACAAAAACTTAGACTCACAGTGGTAGAACCTAGGGCTGGAAGTGTCTAGAGACCATGGTGAAACTGAGGCCCACACAAGCAAAGGCCCTTCTCCAATCCACGGCTCTCGCAATAGCTGCTTGGGATTTTTACCTGCCTTTTCCTTGGGAAACTTGCATCAAAATTATATATTTTTTTCAGCTGACTTTCTTATCTTTCTCCCTATCCACTTTCCTTTTTTGGCAAGGAGGGGAGGAAGGGAAAGATGAAAAAATAAGGGAAAAAAGGAAGGGAGGGAGGAAGGAAGAAAACAGAGAAAAAGAAGGGAGAGAAAGAGAAAGGAAAAGAAGGAAGTGAAGGAGGAAGAGAGAGAGGGAAGAGGAAAGAGAAAGCCATTGCAGTTGATACAATTCAGTTTGTTGCCTTTAGTCTTTGAAAAATATTATAGAGAGAGGCAGTGCCATGATATCCTAGAGAAAGTCCACGTGGTAACAGCCTGGTACCCTGGCAGGTTGCCTTCCACATCCACCTTGAGGTCAGCCTTTGCTTCCTTCCTCTCCCTCTCCTTCTGCCTCCCCACCGACCTACCTTCACTGAAGACAAAATCAGAGATGATGTCAAAGGGCTGGATGTGGACCGCAGACAGGATCATGGTGACTGTCTTCTGTGGATCACTGGAGGCTAGTGAAATGGTCTGCTGAGCTTGACATTCATAGGACTTTCCAGCTGGGGTGACCAAGGCAGAGAGATGATGCGAGTTGGCTGTGTGTTTCCCGGCTGCAGGGAAGGTCCAGAGCAATGGTTAGGCCCCTATAGGGCTGGCAGAACCCTCGTTATGGTGATCCAGATAGTTGACCTTTGTCTCTTAGCCCAGACCCCTGCTCTGATCCTCTGCTGACATGTTGTGTTGCCTTGCCCGGCTGGGGTTATGCAAATGTGAATGCACCCATTCTTTCATGAGCATGGATTTCTTAAATATTAATTTGGAATTTCCTTTTGGAAGAATAAAGTGATACCTAAAACCTCAACCCTTTTTACTATATAAGACCTAACAACAGAGATTCCAAAGATCCACAACGAACAGTGATTTGGTAACCTACACCTCACACTGGCCTGCAGAAAATAAAATATCTTCCTCACAAAGCATGGCTGCTGCTAGTACTCTGAGCAGATGCCCTTGTACGCATACATATTCTTTGGAAGCCTGCCTCACCCCTTTTCCTCCTTTTCTGGATTAAGGTTTGTTTGTTTGTTTTTTTCCCTTTTTTTGGTCTAATTTAACTGTGTGAAACGTTTGAATATGAATTTTGATGAAGAGACAAAATTGCCCTTTTTACTGCGATGATAAGGGGTGAAACGGAAAAGATGACATATGTATTCTTGTACATGCTCAATAAAAATCTTTTCCCAACTCAGGTGCCCAGGTGATGGAAGGCTTCATTATGAGTAGATCAGACAAATTACAAAATAAATACATAAATTTAAATGTGGTCTTTGTTGGTGCCTGCAGATCCCAGCATTGTTACTTGGAGCCTAGATATCCCTTGCCACAGTTTTTTTGGAGGATCCGGGTAGTTGTTGGAGTGATGGGCATGAAAAGCTAATAAATAAGGACATGGTTCAGAATCCACTCTGGGGTGGCTGCAGTGGATGACTGAAGATTGCGGTGAGGCCTGAGCAATGCACCAAAAGATCTGAAGGCCATCAGATTCTGACCCAAAATGAAAGTCATACTGTCCCCCTTGAAGTTTTAGTGCATAAGAATAAAAACCGGGGTGCAGAAGAAAATAAAAATACAGCTTTGTCCTTCTCTGTGCTTCTTTAAAGGACAAACCATAAGAAAGCCATCCTGAAGCAGCCACAGGAAGACAGTCCCTCAAGAGACATCTCATCCAGGATCAGGTGATGGGTGACAGGCTGGTCCTCAGGCCCTGGGTTTCTTGCCCATCTACAAGGCCTGAAGGCCAGAGGACCCACCCGCGCTCCCGCTTGCTTCCTCCACCTTGGAAAGCAAGCCCAGGGCTAACTTGGCCTGGGAGCGCAAGGCCCTGACCCTGAGGAATTTGGCCTCCAAGCCTGAGATCCCTGCAGTGTCTGCGCTTCCCGGGCTCCTTCCCCAGCCCTGCTGGTCTCTACTCACCACTGACCGCGTCTTTAAAATGTGTCTTCTCCGAGGAGTCATAGACAAACTGGACCTTGCTCAGCCTCCACGTCGCCTCGGGTCCCTTGGACGTGTTGTGACTTTCCTGCCGAGCGGGGCAGGCGCGCGTTAACAGCCCGAGCAGATCTGGGTGGGGAAACGGAGGGGCGACCCCTACCCACACCCACCCGGAGTCTGCAACCCCTCTGAGCGCCCCACTAGCAGTTACCTTTACAAACAGCATTTCGAGCGCATACGCGCGATCCACCCAGAACACCTGCAGCTCCGACTCGTTGTGGCCACAGCGGCCCTTCACCTCAGCTCCCCGGGTCAGTGAGATATCAGCTTGTTCCGTGATTAGCTGGGAACACAGACGCCCCGCACCCCCTCAGCGCGCGAGTCCCAGTGGGGGCTGTAAAGGGCAGCGCGTCCAAACTCCGGGTCGCACGCCTGGGCACTCCTTTGCGCGCGCGCTCCCAGGTCCAGGAACATGCGGTTAGATGCTCTGCGTGCAGACCCGGCCGTTAGGGAAGCAGAGAGAGGGATTTACTTTCAAAGCAGGCGGGGCGAGCAGAAGGCATTACAAGCCTGAACCCCCATGCAGCATTTGGGAGCAGCCTGCAGGGTGCAGGGGGGAAGGCGGGCGACCCAGGTCTTCACAGGGTCTTGAGGGAAGGTGCCCTTTGTCCCTGGAGCCCTAGGAGCAAGCTGCGAGGGAAAAAGTGCCTTACATCTACATAATTGCTGGCCCACACATCATAAGGGACAGTAAATTTGGCTGCAAACTCTGCCATGAGACACGTCGTCCCATTTTCCCGCACCACAAATATATCTTTTTCAGGGTTAGTGGAGAGGCCTGAGAGATTCTCCACTTCTTGTTCTGCCATGATTCGAGCCATTGTATCTGCAGAAAACAAACAAAAAATCCTATCGGTTAGGGGCTCAGCGAGCCCACGCGTCTCGGGCACAGGGGTGGAGAGACATGGAGGTCTTCGGGCTTTGGGCTGCCCAAGTTCCTTGCTGGCTGCAGGGCGCTCTGAGAGCCGTTTCGCTGACCTAGCGCCAACAAATTCGACTTCGTTGCTGTTAATTTATAATAAAAATAAAATTAAAAAACATTTAAAGCCTTATTAATTTGTAATCCGACTGGCCTTTTTCTTCATCTTAGGCTTTTAAACCAAAGCTTTCTCGCCCGTGCTCTGAGCCCACGAAGCAGGCCTGTGCAGCATCGTGTCTGGGATTGGTGTACAAGTGTGTGGCTCTCTGGGGAATTCCCTGCCACTGAGGGGAAGGTCCTCCCCTCCTCCCCCCAAAAAAGAACAAAACCGCCAAACATTAGGGCCACGTTTTGACCTTAAGCTAATGGCTTTACTGTGCCAGTTCTATTCTCCGCAAAGAGTGCACCCTGCTCTGGCGGTTGCCAAAACGCTACTCACGGAAGAGCATCAGAAGAACTCGAAGTCTATTCACGCCGAGAACGGCTCTTCCTCGGAGATCCATTCTCGCGGAGCAGAGAATAAGGCCAGTGGTGCTGCTGCAGAGGCCGCCCGAGAGGGAATCCCTCAAAGTCGCCGCTGGAGTGAGCCTGAGTGAGCGAGGGGCGGGGGCACCGAGAGGGAGGAGGGAGGGAGCGCGCGTTCCGTACGCACTGGCGGACTTGGTGTGGATGGAGTACCGCACCGACCCGGGCAGGGTGAACGCTAATGGGCTCACTGCAGAGGAAAGGGCCGCGTGGCGAGGGAGCTGTCCACGGCTGCGAGTGCTGAAAGGATTCGGTTGTATTGCTGGAGTGATTGTGGCTGGGCTTGTGCAGAGCTCCAATGAAATCTGGAAAGGCTAAAATTCTCCCTGAGTCTGTTTCCTGCGCTGCAATTGCATCCGCAAAGATGATTCTATCCTGAGAAACTTAATAGCACCCTCTGACTTATTCAATATCCCTACCAGTATAGTGATTAGGTGGTGAAGACATCACACCACTGGAGTCCTGGCTTCTGAAAATGCTTCTAGCTCCTGAAGGAAAACGGTGGAGCACAAATTGTTGCTGCTTTGGGGGAGGAGGCGTAGGCAGGAATAGGGAAGGAAAATGCTATGGCAACAGCTTCCTGCATTTGGAGACATCGCCTTCTCTCCCCTGCTCTCACGAGCTCAGGGTTTAAAGTTAAACTGATGCCTCCTCAAGTGAGGCCGTTAGTCAATGCAGTATGTCTATTTGGGCTCGTTTTTTGTGAGTTCTGTTCTCTGATTGCATGAGGACTTTGAACTCTGGGGTCACCTACCCTCGCTCATTATATTGTGACTACTCTGCTAAGAGGAATGTAAGTGAACCCAAAGTTTGTGAGGGTTATGTAGCATCTTTTAGGACAGTCCTAGTTATATACACAAACACACACACACTCATGCACACATATAATACTCTACAGCCTCTAGTGGGACAGAAAAAACAAATACTACTGGGCTAATTCCTATATTTACACTTTTTAGTAGCTTGCTTGATTTTTAAATGTTTTGCTCCAAAAATCAGAATACAGCACTTTCAGCAATAGGCATACTGTCCTAATCAATTGTAGTGATGTCCAAATATTTTATTTCTTAGCGGCAATTTCATTATATGAAAAATCAACAATATAATGTCATAAAACAATGTCATAATAAGGGGCAAATTGCAAAGTATTTTCATGTGCATTGTCAAATTTGATCCTCCCTACAACCTTAGAAGGTAGGCAAGGGAAACTATACCTTATTGTTGTTGTACATACGCCAAAATTGAGGCTCAGAGAAATTAAATGACCTTCCTCAATGTCACATGGTCAGTAAAATTAAAATAGAAAAATCACATTATTTAACTTCATAGGGATCATTTTCATTTTTCTTTATATAATACTTTGACTCTAAAATATACCATATGTTGATTTCCATTAAAAAATCTTTATTCAGTGACCAAATAACAAGCTAACACCTAAGATCTCTAGCTCACATTCCTGAAATGTATAGAGTGCTGTTTTAAGTATAATAATATTCTGACATTATGCTTGCCACAAAGTGTTTATACAATTATTTTTTCAAACCTGTTCCTATATCAATAATGAGATCAATAGCAGCTCAAATTATGAAGTAATGTTTAAATCAATACTATATTTTTACATCTTTATTTTTATCTCTGTATTTTGATATTTCATCCAAACATTTCTCAATAACTTTATATAACTGAATATATATAGAAGCACTGAGGCAAAATTGTGATTGATACAAAGGCAATTATTATCAGTTGACAGTGGAATTTGTAAAATTTATATATGCCTCATGATTTGTCATGTTAGCAATTGTTAATAAACACTTATTTTCCTGTAGCACTGTAAAAATTAGAAAGCAATGAGATATAGGTAATGGAACATTTATATATTCTCTTTCACTCTCTCCCTTTAGTAGTTAAATGAGGAAAGAAATGAATGGATTTCAGTCCAGGATTCACTATTTATTTTTTATGATCTTGTACAGATTTTAGTGTTCCTCACCTAAGAAACTGGGATAATAGCTCAGGGGATATCTTGTTAGGCCAAGTGAGCCAATGAGTATAAAAGCATTCAAAAAAAGAGACAAATTAATTTAGACCATAAGCATTAACTGAGTACCCACTACTTGTACTATGTTTGGTAATTTGGAAACCCAAAGATAAACAAATACCATTATAAAGTAGAAGAGATATCTGTAAAAGTTAGGACACTTTCTCTTGTGACACATTATTGCAGATATCTTAAATTATAAGTTGTTTAAAAAGCAACTGAATTAATTGATGATTAGCTGCTTTAATAATAAAATATTAGATGGGACATAGCATTGGTCATGAATCTTAAGTTGTTGTAGTTGATTTACAAATCAAATGGTGATTCCTTTGGAAAATGGTTTCTTTCCATACCTGACATAAATGATCTCCTTGTTGACCAGCAATTGAATGAGTCAAAAGAAAAAAAAAAGGAAGCAATTTTAACTCCTCTTCTTGGGAGAATCATCTTCAAAGCATAATTAATTTAAAATCCCTTTTGGTATTTAATCTTAAACATAGCTTTACAAACACCCATTAACTTATTTGTCTATCTGTAGTGATTCTTATGTTGCAATAGGAGTCGGGTCATTATACCTACAACTTTCACCAACATTAATTAAATACTTTCTAATCATCCTTTAAAAAACTTCAGTTCTTTAAAATTACTAAAGAGATAATAAAGGAGAAAAACGTACCATTAAATCATAGTAACAAAGTTTTCCAGGATCCATTCCATTCTTCATTTCTTGAGTGGGAGAGAAAGTAGGAGGAAAAAATGACATAAACATGTACATTCATGTGGATGATAGCTGTGTCAATTTTCATCAATGCTGCCGGCAGTCAATACAAATGTCACCCAAGTGCACTGGCTTTTGAATCTCTTCTCGATCCTCTAAGTCCTTCAAAGGATTCCCTTCAGTTCTTGTATTTACTTATTGAATTAGTCTTTATGAATCTCATGCATGTCATTGAGTGGTTACTGTTTCATGGATGTGGAAGAAAAGACCCACTGTATGTATAGAACTTTTAGTTTGGATGAAAGAAAATGAGAGGAAACGTGAAGATGTATGGTTGCCTGGCACAATGTGTGCACAGATGTTTAAAGAAAGAAAAAGTAAGATAGCCATCCCAGGGTGGGGTGGAATTGACCAAGGAGGCTTCTTGGAGAAGGAGATCTTAAAGAAGTGGACAAATTGATCTAAGGTAAAAGATAAAGAAGGGCAATGCAAATGGAAGAAAAATATATTAAGTAGGAGAGTCAGTGCAAAGATGTAATTCTTCATTCCTCCATATTTATCAATTTGCAATAAAGAAGAAATTAGACCACCAAATCCACAGTGTCTTATACATAACCTTTATTTAACTTCTTTATTTGGTAATTTACCCATATATGGTATATGCAAAAGAATGGCATATGCAAAACATTCTAAATAAAATTAAATATTCAAATTATTAGGTGTATCTCTTTATACTTGGTTGCACAAGCAATTGACTTGTATCTGTAGAATGAAAAGTGGAAAGCTAAGCTTTGTTGCAGCTGAAATTTGGCTTGTTGATATTTCAATCCAGTTTACAGTGAAATGTAAAAATGTACTCTGGTGCTGCTGTTCCCACCACCACTAATGCTCTCCCCTGACCCAGCACACACACACACACACACACAGATAAGGAAGCACACATGGATAAAGGAAGGAGGGATAACTGAACTGGACAAGATGCACACAGCCCTTACGCCCAAATTACTAGTTACCAAAACCTTTTCTGTGCTCAACTTAATCACTGAACAATTATTTCATTTAATTTAATCACTGCCTTTGAAAACCTTTGAAATCCTTTTGGGATAGGCATTGAAAAATAAGTATACATAAAAATATTTTGTGCATATATTGGCAAACCCTAGAATATGTGGAAAGAATCAGAAAATTAAGTTTGGCCCTCTGATGCACTCAGCTTGCATGACCTTGATGAAATTTCCCTCAGCCTTCCTGTCATTGGTCTCTCCTGCAGCTAGTTTAAAGAAACCAAGCTATTTCTGCAATGAGGGTAACCAGTGGAGAAGACAAGGCACCAGAATAATAGACCTTTCATTGGCAATGTATCTTCATGCTAAGTTCTTAGAAAATGTCCTTTTATGAACTCATTTAGGATAAATGCCTTCACATAGGAGGGAATGCAGGGCACAAAGTCTCTCTAAAAAAACTACCTGAATAAGCAGATGGTGAGGCCAGGTGATCATTCCTGAAAGGTTCAAGAGCACAGGAATTATTTTTATCTCTTGAGCCAGTAATTAGTTAACTGTTTTTAAAACAGTTTATGATAGCTACCGCTAGCTTCAATGTGTAAAATTTTAGGCTACTGAGTACAATCAGTCCTCTTGGTTTTCCTGGCAGTGAGGAAAATCTTAACACTGGGGGGACCCGGGAATTTTCTGTAAAAGACAAGAGTCAATTGAGAATTTTAAAAACTCCTTTAAGAAGTTTTTTTCTCCAAGAAATATTAACAAGTATCCCAGTGGGCTTAAGGTTAGACAAGCTGTGTCTCATTTACAAGAGTTTGCAGGGCTTCCCTGGTGGCGCAGCGGTTGAGAGTCCGCCTGCGGATGCAGGGAACACCGGTTTGTGCCCCGGTCCGGGAAGATCCCACATGCCGTGGAGCGGCTGGGCCCATGAGCCATGGCTGCTGAGCCTGCGCATCCGGAGCCTGTGCTCCGCAACGGGAGAGGCCACAACAGTGAGAGGCCCGCGTACCGCAAAAAAAAAAAAAAAAAAAAAAAAAAAAAAAAGAGTTTGCTATCTGAGTTCTGAGATAATGCACTTCTTTAAAATTTCTTTTATCGTGTATCACAGGGGTTTCTTATTCCCAGTTACCTACTCTTTAAGTTCTCTATTTGCAGTTTTCTGCATATTCACCTGAAGATGTGTTGAACTAAGGGAAATTTATATTAATTGCTATGGGGGGGGGAGGGTGAGAGTGGGGCGGCCAGTCAGCTGAGCTTGGAAGGAAGCTTTGCTGGTGCAGGCCTGGAGCCCCGGAGTTGCCCTGGGGTGTTCTGATGTTGTAAGTTTGGGATGTTTCTATGGCTGTTTATTTGAAACCATTGCAAGACGCTTGCTCTGGTAACCAAGAAAGGGAA